TCTTTTTTTTCCTTGCCCAGCCTTTGAGAATCCAGTGGTCAAAGCACGTTCCAAGGAGGAAGCCATGCACTGTCACTTTTGCTCTGGCTCTCCACCCGTTGCCTAGATGGGGAAACTCGAGTGACGGAGGCACTGACGAGTCTCGTTGCTGGACGGAGGGCGGATCTTCGGCAGTGTCCGACCTCTTGGGGAGTGGAGCGCTTTGGTGCCGTTGCCGAGAGTCGAGACAAATAGGAAAGAGAGGGGACAAGAAGGGGGCAAAAATGAAAGAACAAGGGAAAGTAGAAGCAGGGAATACGGAGTAGGCAACCTTTGCATTCGAGTGAAACTACTTACTTATCCCCCGACGATGAGATCATGGTGGGCAGAGACAACTACTGTATCTACTAGGAGTAGGTAGATCGTAAGTCGACGGAGGATCTCGATTGATTGATGTACTTGACATTGTACCCCATGACATTTGGGAGGAAGGATTGGTCTCTTAACTATGTTCCCCGGTGAGGGAGGCGATCAAAGTCAATTATATTAAAAAAGAAGAAATGGAAAAAGAAAGGAAAGGAATGTCAGACACTGACGGGGCAAATCGTATTATTTTATTTCTTTTATTCTTTATGTTAGATTGTAAACTAGTTGTCTTTCCCCCTCCATCGGTGTCCAGTAAATAAAGTGGATTTTTTGTTGGCCTCTTATTTTTTGTTCCTTTGCCTGGCTTTAACCCCAAAAGAGAAGTTTCTACGCTCGAACCGTCTGACCCTCTTTTTTTTTTTTTTTTTTTCCCCCTTCTTATTAACATCCTGTTCTTTTGCCCAATTTTTTTAGTAAATAATTTTACCTCACATCTTCCCACCCTCAGCCCCCTTCCTCCTTCTTACTTGTCTACCTTCTGGTTATCTCTTTATCCATCGTCAATTTCCTTTATGTCACTCCTTCCGCTGGCCCTCTTGCTAACTTCTGGCCTTATTCGCACGTCCCTACTAACTCCCTAGCCGCGCGTTTCTTGCGCTTGAAGTTATCAATCACCCCGCCGGAAAAAATCTTGAATTTTTTTTTTTTGGATTTTATTTTTCCGGCGGCTACTATCAACCTTGAGGGTTTTGGGGTGAACAAGGGCAGAAAAAAAAAAGGATTAAAAAAAAAAAAAAAGAGGTCCGCCATCATCGGGGTCGGCACTTGGGATTGATATCAGTTACGAAATTTTTTGTTAAACATTTTCAACTACTCTATTTCCCAAGGCCCCGTGTGTATCTCAATACACGCAAAAAGGGACACCACCTTTTTTTTTTTTATCTTTTTTTTCTTGAAGGTCAAGGGGACAGACATACTTCCCCTCAAATAGAATCCAATGGTCTCCATGGTTGAGACCTCCAATCCCAATCCAAATGACACCGCCATGGATACGGTTGTCCCTAAAACTGAACCCGCTGTACTTGAGGGATCCATCAGTTCAGTGGTATCAACCCCCGAGGCTGAAGGCGAGATCTTGACGCAAGATGTAGCCCAGACGCAGAAACGAAAGGGTGGAAGAAAACCTGTACGTAAGATCTATTCCCTTCCCCCCTTTATATTACTCTATTTTTTTTATTTTATTTTATTCTACCCGCCATGTGGTGTGCGTGATGGCAATCCGGGGCCCCGCATTACGGTTATCATTATCATCGCTCATTATGTTTCTGATTCGATTGATCGCTTCTCTTATCTTTGCCCACCCCTGTACCTTTTTTTTGTTTGTTTATTTATTTATTTTTATTATGCCACTTACCTACACTGGCTTATCATGATCTTCATCTGCTGCCCTTATCGTCATGATCGCCCGGCTTAATTGTTTAAGCTTCTTTTAAGTTAACCTTCGTCCTAGATCTATGCAACCTCTGAGGAACGGAAGCAACGCAACCGTCAGGCCCAGGCTGCCTTCCGTGAACGTCGCACCGAGTACATCCGTCAGCTCGAGTCCACTATCAAGCGCAATGAAGAGTCCCTGCAGACCTTGCAACAGAACCATCGCACCGCCGCTGATGAGTGTCTGATGCTGCGATATAAGAATTCCCTGTTGGAACGCATCTTACTTGAGAAAGGTTAGTCATCATGTCTTGTCCTCTGTGAAACACATCACCCAAGCAGAGGGAGTAAAACAGAACATGGATTGACCATACATAGGGATTGATGTCCAAGCAGAACTACGCTTGAAGGCCGGCGCTCCAGGCCCGAAGCCCAACCCCATGGCGGGGAAACCCCCATCATCCTTGGAGCGCGCAGCGTTGAACCGAAATTCTGCCCAGAGGCATCCCACTGGAATCGCGCCGAAAGGAGAGCCTTTTGGAATGCCGCAGCCCCGTGACGGAGCGTACGGCATCCCATCTCCCCAGTTTCAGGCCACGCCTCCGTCTCACGTCTCGTCGCCGTCCCATGCCAAGTCGCCCGGGTTTGCTTTCCAAGGAGCCATGTCTCCAGCTGGAGTCGACCCTCAGCAGGCGGCACAACACTCGCGCCTGTCGCACTCGAGGAATCTCAGCCAAACATCGCCTCCCATGAGCGTCGCCCAGTCCGATACCACCGACCCGAAGTCTGCTCTGCCGGGCGGTGCCGGCCCCAGAGGACCCCGTGTTGCTTCGGCATATTACCCGTCGCCATTCCAAAAGCACTATGATCAGCTTGGTAGGCCTTCCCGTTCCGATGATGGTTTGGTAGGGAGTTGGTGACTAACCATAACTTCTAGAACAAGAGTATGACGCTCAGGCCGACCTAATCGATGAGGAGCATGAGTCATCTGTGGGTGCCTCGCCGTACGTGTCTGGCTTTAACGCTGCCGCATCGGTTCCTGGCTCTCACTCGATGGGCCACCATAGTCTTCCGCAATTCAATCCACATTCGGGAGAAGGATCCAATGGAGCATATAACAACACGAACCAGCTCTTGGGAAACTATGAGCCCATGCTCGATGCAGATCCCTTTGGCTTGAGTGCGAGCATGCACTTCCAGACCCCTTTCAGCTACGAACAAAATAATACCCGTCACTAAACACCACTTTCCGTCTCTACTCTCGGTCCACTACTTCGGCTACCCCGTGTTAATTTTTTTTTTCCCCCCTACTTCCCCTTTATTCTTCTAGTCGTCTACGACCGGTCGAGGAAATATACCCATAGGAAATAAGGATAAGAACTGATTTTACTCTGATTCACATCCGGCTTCGTTCTGGCATCCCTCGGCATGGCATCGGAAGACAAAAGTGATTTCAAGCATTGCCCGGCGTTTTGCGGTTGATACCATTTGGCTTGTGTTGGTTGTTGATTGAAAACGAGATGCTTGTGAGGTTTCAAAAAGATAGTTTGTTGGTGTACATGATGCGCATACGTGTGAAGCTTCCGAAGAGGACTGCCGAGCAGTCTTGATTCTCTGGACATATATTGTTATGCTGGATTATGAGGTGGCATGGCTTGTTTAAATTTTTTTTTTTTTATGTTTATTTTCTTCCTTTTATTCGTTGCATTGTTTTGTTTTCTGTCTTTGTCTTTGGTGTATTGCGGTTTCAAGAAAAAGAAAGGAAAAAAATTACTTCGTTGTAAATGATTTATACTATTATGGGTTGAAGATGGATGGATGGATGTTATGTATTAGGGTTTGACTAAAGACGTTGAGACAAGGGGGATATGATTGGAGGAAGGACGAAATACCACCTTGTACTGCTACCTACCATACCTACCATTACTGTGTACTTACTGTACTGTTCACGACATCATGGATCATCATAGGAGGAAGAAAGTGACGTAGACCTAGTGAAAGAACGGTTGCCAGTTGACGTTGATCGCTCATGATGCCATCTGCAAGCCCCGCGTGACGCCATTGCCGGGCTAAAGCCCTAGCTTTCGACCAATCACAACACGCATACCTAAATTCGCTTAGCGAGCAAGCACACCTTACCGGATTGGGGCAGAGCAACCACAAACGTTTGTCTCCAACTCCTCAAGTCATCATCCACCCGATCAACCCCCCTTCCCTTAAACTCCCCATCCCATCCATTTAGGAGAGGCCGGATACCTACGCCGTCTAGGTTTCTGCCTTGCTCGTCGCCTTCTCCCGCCCTTTTTTCGTACCGAATTGCTGCGATAACGGAGAGCCTTCCCCGGAAGGCCCCTCATAAAACCAGGCGTCATGACGGACGTCCGGTCCAAGGTACGTGCGAGAGAGCTTTCTATATTGCGGGAATGGTGTTTAGGAGCTACTGTTATCCTCGGCCTTTTGGGTTTCGAAGTCAAACCGATGGGAAAGTCAATTGGTGGGGATGAAGAGTGCTCTGGTGAAGAATTTACTTGGTGAAGAGAGGGGAGGGGAAGAGAAGAAAAAAGAAAGAAAGAAAAAAAAAGGGTTCAAAAAAGTGAAACGCAATGCTGACGAATGTCTCATATCTAGAACCTTTACGAGCTTCTTGGTAATTCATACCCTTCCTGAATTGCGCCCTATGGATTTTCTTTGATCTTTCATGCTGCGATTGTCAAATCCTCCCGCTGTCAAGTCATTACATCATCTAACGTGTTTGCGCGATTTGCTGTTGCAGGCAATGATCCCGAGTTAGACCCCAGCAGACCCCCCGCTCCTCCCACGAAAGCTATCGACAAGCCCGCACCCCGTGTAGGCAAGCGTGATGCCCCCAAGGAGGCTCCCAGCCAGCCCCGTGCCGGCCAGAGCTCTCGCCGTGGCAACTTCTCTGGCAATGAGGCCGGTATGTGATAGTCTCTTCTACTTTTTTTTTTTTTTTTTTTTTTGCGTTACCCGGGTCTTCCGGCTAATTCCGGCTCCATATAGCTTTCCGTGACCGCAACGCTGGCCGCAACCAGAACCGCGAGAAGCCCACCGATGAGAGGGAAGGTGGCGCCCGCCGTGGCGGACGTCCCCGTAACGACCGCCAGTCCCGCACCGGCCAGACGTAAGGCTCCCCCCCCCCCTTTGCTTGGAGTATTACAGGCGATGTGGGTTTGCTGGGATTGTTCGAAACTGACATATGTTCCACTGCAGCGACACTGGAAAGAAGGTGAACCAGGGCTGGGGTGGCCAGAGCGGCGAGAAGGAATTGGACGATGAGCGCGCCGGTGAGAAGATCGCCCAGGCCGACGAGAACGAGCCCCAGACTCCCGCCGAGGAGGCCGAGGCTGCTGACAAGGCCAAGTCGTATAACGACTACCTTGCTGAGAAGGCCGCCGCCGGTGATTTCAGCGCCAAGCCCGTCCGTGCCGCCAACGAGGGTTCCAAGGCTGATGCCAAGTGGGCCAACGCCAAGGAATTCAAGCGTGAAGAGGAGGACGACTATATCAAGGGTTCTTCTGACAAGGCCAAGCGTGAGAAGGCTCGCAAGGAGAAGAACATCCTTGAGGTCGACATGCGCTTTGTCGAGGCCCCCCGTGGCAGCAGCGGTCCCCGTGGCCGTGGCGGCCGTGGCGGACGTGGTGCCCGTGGTGGCCGTGGCAACGGTCCCCGCAGCGAGCGCACTGAGCGCAGCGCTCCTGTCACCGTGGACGAGAAGAACTTCCCCAGCCTTGGCGGCAAATAGATACGGTCAGTCTCATAGCGGGGGGGTATTCTACCGGCACACATCGACGCCGGTCCATTGAAAGGTCGAAAACGAAAAGAATCTTGAAGAAACCCTTACGATGCCTCTTCCCAGAAAGTGACGTGATATGGATTGCGGGAAATGACACGAGACGAAATCCTTCGGTCCTCGCATTTAGGTTTAAAATGGCCCTGATGTAATTTGATTTGAATGTCAAAAAATAGGAAAGTGAGAATTCAAAACACAAAAACAGTTCCTCTAGGAGGGATTACAGGTGTGAACCTGTAGTTGTCTCCGTTTCTTAAATTGGTGATGGTAGACGTAGCATCCTTCGGGATTTCAATCTGCAGAATATACTCCATGCGAAGGGCTAGTACTAAAGAGACATATCAACACCACAAAAAATCCCAAACTCCAAGCAACCAAACTCAGACCCCAAAACCATACAATACAATTACAGATAACCCATAAATAATTAATCCCCCAACTACTACCCAGCCTCTCTTACCCCCAAACCCTCTTTACCCAATTCATAAACCCCAAAAGCCCCCCTCCACATCGCCACCAACCCAGCCCTAACCACCTCCCTCTCCACGCCCTGAATCCCCGACACATTCCCTCGATCCCCAAGATCAATAAACCCGCCCTGATCCAGCCCCCACAGCGCCTCCTTCACCCAAACCCGACAACTCATCTCCTCGCGAAACAGCGACGAATACGCCGTCCTCGGCACATTCCCCAGACACTCCTCCAGCGCCCCGCGCAGCATCTCCACATCGTCAATGACGTCCACCTTGACGGCCGCGATGATCGGCTGCGATTGGGACTCCAGCAGGTTGGCGGGGGCGCTGTTGTAGGACCAGATTCGGCGAGGTGCTTTTTCGTCTGTGAGATCGTGTTTCGTGCCCCGGGTTAGGGGGCCATGGGTGTTAGTCGTGTATAGGGACCAGTGGAATGTGGATGGTGTGGAGCGGGCTTGGAGGAGTATGTAGAGGGTTGAAGGGGTTAGGGTGTTCATGTCTTTTTCTTTTTTTCTT